AGTAATAACATCTTGAGAAATGAATCTAAAATTATGTTTCTAATAGAGCATTATACATTTAAGAGGAAAACTTAAGTATTTGAGAAAGACTTCTGCAAACGAGCATAAAAATTATCTGCTATATTCAAACTAGTCATCATTCAGTACAATTCATGCAGCCAGATATATAGTAGTATTGCTTAAGACTCTATTAGCTGGGCTAATTATTCTTTAATGATCACTAACAGAAAAGAAATATATTAGTCAGTACGTGTTACATCAGTGCTTTTTTAAGCTTTACTGTCTGTAGAGCTTACCTAGGGATCTTGTTAAATACATATTCTGAATCAGTATGTGTGGGATGGGGCCTTCAATTCTGCATTTCCAGTGAACTCCCATGTGTCGCTACCAAAAGGGACAAAAGTCCCCAGTGTGATTCTTGTACTTTTTGGCAACTTTGCATAAAAAGATAGCTTATGGGTGAGACAGAGGCAATCTGTACTAGGGATATGGCAGGTGAGCTGAGATGCAAGTGAAAAGAAGGACCCAGTCACATGAAGATCATGTGTAAGAACATTCAAGGCAGAGAAACATGTCAATAACCTGAGATGGATCAAACTTCAGCTGGACCATGGTGTGGGGGACTGATGAGAGATGAAACCTGTGAGAATTTAAATGGGAAGCCATTGGAAGGTTTTAAGGAGGGAACATGTGATATGATTTACATTTTGATGATTATTCTGGAGGCTGTGTAAGGAGGGTATTGTAGAGAAGTTGAAGGAAGTAGGAAGCTACATAAAAACGTCATTCTAGTTGCCCATGGTTACAGAGGAGCTGGAGAAAAGTAGATGGATTTTTTCTTTCACTTATAAATTGGGTCTAGAAAGCCCCATCCAAGATAGAACAAATAAAAATTTAGTTTATGTAACAAACAAAAATTGTCTAAAATTACAAATTTGACTGCACAGATCTATCTTATGACAAAACACTTCACCTAAACATGCGGGTCAGAATACCATCATAACAACGAGAAATAATTCGGTAATTATTTTAAAAGCATTTTCCCAGAACTGTTCAGGACTATTTTGTGGAAATGGATTTCTCTGACTGTCACTTCTAAATGGCCTATACTATGATGGAGAGGAAAGGATTATTACTGTCACTTAGGACTGCTACTCGGGTATGGCTCTCAAATTCAACTCATGCTCATACAAGACAGCCAACAGTTCGAAACTAGAACTGCCCTTAAAATTATGTATGATATATTTTTGACCACATATAAAAGTAGAAGATAATAATGAACCCTTACAGAATATTGCCACTACCCAGCTTCAAGAGTTATCATTTTGTGGCCAAGTTTGTTTCATTTATATTATCCCCCCTCCTTCCTGTAGTGAGTTACCCAATTAGTTTATTTTGAAGCCACCTAATCTCAGTGGTTTAATGTGCACTAAATCCTACACATCGTTTTAAGGACTTTTGAAAAAAAAGAATTAAGAATATAGCAAAATTCTTAATCTTAAATATGCCTACTTCCAAAGAAAGAAAAAGAGACTCATCTCACACAAAGCCAAAGAAACAAAAGAATCCTCTCATGCAGATCTTGGACGATTTCCCCTTGTTGTGAAAATAAAAAAATACTGGCTAGACTTGGAATTCTATCCAATAAATTTTTTTCTGGCTAATAAGGCTTCTTGTGGAGAAAATGCAGAACTAGATTAGTACCCTAGAATGTCATTGTATCACAGAATGTTTGCAACTTTGTTCAGCTCCAACTTGTTCTCCCAAAATAATTAGCTTGTGCCCTAGCTGGTGTGGCTCAGTGGATTGAGTCCCAGCCTGTGAACCAGAGGGTCACCAGTTCAATTCCCAGTCAGGACACATGCCTGGGTTGTGGGCCAGGTCCCCAGTAGGGGGCACACGAGAGGCAACCACACATTGATGTTTCTCCTCTCTCTTTTCCCCTCTCTCTAAAAATGAATAAAATATTTTTTAAAAAAGAATGTTTAAAAAATAATTATCTTGGACATTTGATAGCGTTTCAAAAAGATCTCTTAGAACCTTGGATCTTAGATGAGAACTGGTGAGTGTTATTGGCAGTTTAGACACCCTGTAAAAGAGATTGTGACATTTGTAGGTTCAAGACTGTAGCATTAGATAATCCCAAACAAAAATGTTTTCACCTGCATTGTTCCAGTTGCTAAACCTTTCTCTTTCAACATTACCAGAATACCTATTTCAAAGGGAACTCTGCTTTATGTTTAATTTTGGACCAATTGGTAATTCAACTATCCCATTTATCCCACAATGTAAGTCCCAGTCACCTCCCCTTGACTCCAAAACTTGTCATCCTAGATCCCAATACCGTCTACTCATAACATGGCTGGCTCATCAGGCCCCTTTAGCAAACTACCTCAAAAGGCCTATATATTCTCCCATATTAAGAAACTCATCTGATTTGTTATATCTTGGCACACATGAGCAAAGGCTATCCCTTAACATAAACAATATCTGGAACATAAATTTAATAACAAAAATATTGTAATGTAATGGGATGGGAAACCAAACCCAATACCCTGGACTTCACACCTCCCCTACAACTGACCAATCCAAGGAGATTCCCAAGACAGCCTGGTTATCATGTAATTATGTCATACAACAATTCCAGTGTTCCTTTGTAGATTCAAAAGATGTATGTCTTATTTTGTCACTCAATATTAAAGATTTTATTAAAAGAGATGCAATAATTTACTACATTCTTTACTTTTAAACCTATACTTACTAGTTTATCTTAGGGTCAGAATGGAAGAGTTTGTATTTTTTATTAGACAGAAAGTACTATAGAAATCCAATATATTTAATAATGGTGTGTGGTGGAGGAAAGGTACCTTGTAGAGAAGTCTTCTTACTTTCAAAGTAATTAAGTCTATAGGATTATTTTCTTAGTTTCTCTTTCTGAAACTTTATTATTTGTATATAGAAATGTCACCAATTTTTGAATACTAATTTTGTATCCTCAACTTTGTTGAATCCATTTACTAGTTCTTGTAGGTTTTGTTGAAATTTTTAGGCTTTTTTACTTCAACGTCACCAACAAAAAGGTACCTAGGAAGAAATTTAACTAAGGAGATAAAAGACCTGTACTTATTTCTTAAAATTATAGGACATTGAAGGAAGAAATTGAGGAATGCAAATAAGTAGAAGCATCTGCTGTCTTCATAGATTAAAAGAATTAGCATAATTAAAATGTCCATACTGCCCAAAGCAATCTATAGATTCAATGTAATTCCTATTGAAATATCAATGTCATATTTCACAGATTTAGAACAAATATTCTAAAAATTAATATGGAAACAAAAAAGATTCTAATATCCTTAGCAATCTACAGAAAGAAGAACGAAGTTGGAGGGATCACAGTACCTGATACCAAACTATACTACAAAGCCACTGTCATCAAAACAGGCTGGTACTAGCATAAGAACAGACACATAGATCGATGGAACAGAATAGAGAGCCCAGAAATAAACCCACACCTTTATAGTGAATTAATGTTTGACAAGGAATATTACTCCATTTCATGAAATGGAGTAAAGACAGTCTTTTCAGTAAATGGTGTTGAGAAAATGGGACTGGTACATGCAAACAAATGAAACTAGACGACCAACTTACACCATACAGCAGAATAAACTCAAAATGGATAAGAGACTTACATGTAAGTCACAAAATGATAAAAGTCCTAGAAGAAAACATGCAGTAAAATCTCATATCTTAGTAGCAATGTTTGCCAATATATCTCCTAGGGCAAGGGAAATACAGGAAAAAGTAAATGGATCTATATCAAATTAAAAAGCCTCTACACAGCAAAAGAAACCAACAAAATGAAAAAGGGACCCACTGCTTGAGAGAACATATTCACCAATGATAACATCTAGTAAGGGGTTGATTCCCAAGATATAGAAAAAAAAGCTTTACAACTCAACACCAGAGAGATAGATAATACAATTTAAAAATGGACAAAGGACCCGAACAGACACTTTTCTAAAGAGGACCCACAGATGGTGCACACACATATGAAAGGATGTTCAACATCACTAATCATCAGAGATGCAAATTAAAACCACAATGAGATACCACTTCACACCGGTCAGAATGGCCAACATAACCAAATCAACAAACAACAAGTGCCGGAGAGGTTGTGGAGAAAAAAAACCCTAGTGCACTGTCAGTGGGATTGCAGACTGGTGCAGCCACTGTGGAAAACAGGATGGAATTTCCTCAGAACACTAAAAATGGAACTGCCTTTTGACCCAGTGATCCCACTTCTGGGATTATACCCTAAGAATCTCAAAACAATTCAAGAGAATAGATGCACTCCTATGTTCATTGCAGCGTTATGTACAATAACCAAGTGCTGGAAGCAGCCTAGGTCCCCATGAGTAAATGAGTAGGTAAAAATGTGGTACATTTACACAGTGGAATTCTATGTAGCAGAAAGAAAGCAGGAGCTCCTACCCTTTGCAACAGCTTGGGTGGAACTGGAGAGCATTATGCTAAGCTAAATAAGCCAGGCAGTGAAAGACAAATACCATATGATCTCATCTTTAACAGGAATGTAATCAACAAAACAAACAAGACTAGGCTTTTAAAGCAGAAACCTTGAACAGCCGGAGGTCCAACTACGTAAATTGTTGTCACTAGTAATCCACATCAGGCATTTTTAAAAAATAACAGGGGTGTTTTTATCTCTAACCTAAACATTCGTATGACAGTAACTTCCTGAGAAAAATGTAAAGTTAAGCTAAAAATCCATGCTATATGTGTTTTACTAGGATTTTCACAAAGACCATACAAACAGTTTATATATTTCATTCAGACACTTAGATTGTTTTGTATTTCTTACACAGTCTCCATTTTATTTGACATCTAAAGTGAAACAGTGGAATAGACATGAGATAATAGGCATTTCTCACCTGACGACATCTTTGCACTTTTCAGAGATAAGCTATATAAAACTTGTTAGAGAAATGAAATCACTGCTCTTTTTATTTATCTTAGTCACAAACTGGAAAAGAAATACATACATTTAACTTTATTAAGTGTAATAAGTACCTTGTTATCACAGACCCATTCAATCACTCTGTGTGGATGAAGTGAGCCAATGACATGCTTCCTAACTACCCCACGTTATGGACTGTTATTGTGGATGTTCTTGGGGGGGAAATTACACTTGTTCTAAGTTTCAAACAGTTGTGGTAGTTTTCTAGTAGGGTACTAAACACTTCCACTTCTATTGTATGTAATGGATATATAACATGACATAATAGTGTTACAGTTACACGTATAAGTAGTTAGCAGAAGAGAAGCTGCCCAGCTATTCCCACACCACAGGGGAAAATGTAAGGACGTAGCTCATGAAGAATATTAACATTTTCTATCACAAAATATTGATAAAACTAGAATTATGTCCATCCATATTATACAGCTAGACATCTTAAAGTATTAAGATGACAAAATAAGGCTTTTCACTGCATATCAAAACCCATTTGAAAATTAAGAGTATTAAAAGCATTTTTCTCACTTATGATTTGATTTATTGTAGTGTTTCATCTGTCCCTATCTTAACAGATATGACAGGATTCTATATGCATATTTGTAAAACCTCATTAAAATGTAACCCAAATATATTTGTTGCCTTAATCTATATTTTGTCAAATGCAAACATTTTAATTTTTGCTAATTATCAACTTTAAGCATAGTGCTTGAAATTAAGAAATTTCATTTTTATCTAGTAATATATTTAGGAAATATTTTTCTTCACTTTGTAAGGTCATTACAACCTAACTAATCAACTAGCTTTTAAGTACATTAAATACTCTTACTATAAAATCTCTTTCTCCCAAGTAGGATACAGAGATCAATAATTTGTTGTTGCTATTTTTCTTTCTTAAGCCTTTATGCAATATTTCAGTGTCACATTATGTATTCCCCTATAAAAATGTCTACCTTTTTTACCCACTACTACAATATATCGTTATATGTTTTTAAGGAAGTAAATGGGCTCATTTGGGGATGATAGGCTTTGAAAGCAGAGACTTGCCAAGCCACTGACATGTCGTTAGAACCATAATAGCACAACGTGCAAATTAGTGGAAATTTATTTAGTTGAAAAGATATTATTCCACTTTCCTACTTAATGAAGTTAACCATCACCCTTGATTTAGTTATGTATCTGAGAGTTATAAATAGCATGTAATGAAGCATCTCTTTTAGTCACAAGGTTTAATGTGAGAAAAACAAATATGTACTGTATATACCATGCACTAGTTAAAGTGTTTTTTAAAATTCAGTAGTTTTGCCTATTTTTGGGTAACAAACAGTGTTTATACTTGTAGCTGAACTGCTTATCTAATATTAAAGGAAAATCATCTAATGGAATAACTTGTAAAATCTCTACTCCCACAAATTAATTCAGTATCTAGGAAGCATCCTATTGAAAAATAGTGAAGCATGTCCTCCATTGTCTGCAATGGAAGTTTACTTAAGCGGTGAATGCTATATTGAATACAAGAATGTGATAGAAAGGACTCAGACCTCATCAATGGCTGGAGAGACTCATCTGGAGAACTAATTCATTCCATTAGATATACTGAGTAGTGCCATGGTTCCAAATTTTGATTGGCCTTTGGTTGTGGAAACATAATAATTAAAGTACTAATGCAGACACCCCTCCCAAAAAAACTTCTTTGTGTTGGAGAGTCATTCATGGCTAGAAAAGAAAAAAAAAGTTAGTTTACTACTGGCTTATAATGATTTTAGACATTGTCACAGTATGCACACAGTTTTGAAAAATGATTTAAACTGATAGACATAAAACCAAAGGAAATGCACTGCTTTTTTGTGGTGCTGTTTTGTGGTGCTCTTTTGTGGTGCTTTTTCAATGAAATGACTTTGTCTGACTTTGGTCAAGATAATGAGGAAGGACTCAGTAGATTTCTTTCTTGATGACATACTTAGAGGTTAAATGTGTCCAAATGTCCTTAACTGTTAATAAATATAGGTATTTCATCTTTAAACTTATTTAAATATATTTTGGACTTGCTATCACTATCTAGTCCTTTAAGATACTAAGTTTGATATTTATTGCTGCACGTTTTTAATAGAGAGTAGTAATGACTACCATTCTGTAGACCCTTTATTTGATATATGTTCACATTGATGCGCCCTCCGGGCACATGTGGTTAGTAGCAGCAATTGCTTTTCAGTCTTAAATTTGAACATCAAATAATCTCTGAGTGACACAGTTTAGATCCTATACTGACTTTCCTTTGCTGCTCATCTGGTTCTTGGGCTATCAAATACCCTTTATTAGTTAACAGCTAGTAGTGAGTAATTTGCAACTAATTAATGGCTTAAGAAACATCATATGTCAAAGATCAAACCACTTTTATTTTGCTGTTACTAAATGTTGGTTGCATATATTGATGATAGAGAACCATGTATATAAGGGTGATGGCTTGACTGTAGTTAGAAAAGGGCTTCAGAACTAAGCACTTTCTGAACTCTTTTCTTTACTTAAATATTTGAGCTTGTTCAACCAAAACATAATTTTAAAGTGAGTTATTTAATGGACACTTACTTTTATTAACTATACACCTGCAGTCATTTATTAGCTCCACATCTATAATATTTTATTAACTATACACCTATGATTTTAAATTTTTTTTCAAAAGGTTTTGCAAATGATTGATTGGCATTTGTATATTTATCTATTGCTCACCATGGTATGTTTGAGCATTTTAAGACCTTTATTGAAGTACAATAAACATTGCAGGACTGTTTAACAGCATCCCTGACCTTTACCCACCAGGTGCAAATAGTACCTAACCCCTAGTTGAGAAAACCAGAAATGTCTCTAAAAAGTGCTGAATGTCTCCTAAGGGGAAAACTTGCCCCTGGTAGACAACTTTTGTGCTAGGCGAAATATATCCCGTTTGCTGTTCTACTTTAAAAGTTAATTGGTCAATAGGTAGAATTTTTAGGAAAGTAGTTTTTAGTCCTTTAGAACAGGGGAGTTTTAGTAATCAGCCCCCTTAGCAATGTATTGGACTCTTTAGACAGATCCCAAGGTCCGTACCATCTTGTCATCCTAGAGAATGTTGTAGAAAAGTGTTAACCATTAAAATACTCTTCATCAGCTTAACTGCAAGTAGGGGATTTAAAGCTAGAAAATCTTATGATCTAGTTAGAAATATAGACACATTTCCTCTTTCAAAAATCTTAAAAATGTATAACCTACAGGAATAAGTATCCCATAGAAGATTGCAAGACAAATGATATTAAAACCTGCTTCTCCATCTTGCATTCTCCTTTATAATTGTCTATGACATTTTCTACCAGCTTTAGAAACAATAAGTTTTTTTTAAAATTTGAATAGAATTATTTCAATAACTCCAAAAATATGCAAGGAAATAAAATTAGTACATTGCCAATGTTAACTGTCTTCCTTTTGGGGGTAAAAGCCTATCTAATTTATTACTGTTTATATAATCAATGATAATGCCACATGTATGAATCAGTTCAAAGTTTCTTAATTCTTACTGTATATCAGTAAGGAAAATATGGAAAAATCTTAAGAGGAAAAAATCAAATTCTATAAGATTTTAGCTCATTCTCATCTTTTACCAGAATTTTCAAGGATGTTATATATAGAAATATATAAACCTTTAGTACTAATAGGACTAGATATGTCCAAGTGAACTTACACAGGTCCATTTGTCTTCTGTTTTCTCAATCACAACTGTGTGTGTGTCACTACCTGGTGGTATGTATTCATAGTCATCATACAGGAGGCCTAGGATTGGGTATTGTGTCTTGTACCTGTACAGACAAAAAAGGTAGTTGCAGGCTGCGCAAGAAAATAACTTTCATTCCTATTTAGTCTCTCCTAGTTTGCTTCCCCTTATTAAATTAATTTGACTGCATGACTTAACTTTTTCCAAAAAAAAAACAAAACAAAAACAAACCCTCACCTGTTAACTTATAAAGATTCACTATGATTATTTTCAAAAGAGTAAGAGGGAGGCACTTCTGTTTCTGGAAATAATGGACCACAGGCAGCACAAGATAGTGATCACAAAGGAGGGAAACAAATGACATGAGTCCTACAAATGCCTAGAGATTTCCTGGGTCACAGTATAGGGAAAGGGAAGCCAAACAGATCCTAGCAGCCTCACCCAGTTGAGGTGAATTTCAAGTAAAAAGTATGTCAAAGCAGCCAGAATTTGTGAAGCAGAAGAACAGACAGGAGAGAGGTCCACACGTGGGGAGAGGCCAAGAGACCTGTAGAGGGGTTCCCCACAAGCCTTTGGGTGAGTGCTTATCAGTGTAGGGACGTGACAATGTTAACAAGGAAGGGGAAAGAACCAGTGAAAAGGAATAGTATGGAAATTCCTAGAGCTCACAGAGTCATGGGAATAGTTTGTGTTCCACTAACCAGAGTGGAAAGAGCTAGTATGGGGAACATCAGGCAAAAACTACAGAAGAGTATTGCCTCAGTAGTAGGATGACATTAGTCCTGGACTGCAGGTTCGAACAGTTTGAAAGCAAGATTTAAAAGTATTTAACTCTTTCTAAGTAACTTATCTTTATCTCAGAACAAAGCCACAAAATACTTAAAGGGATAATAAAAATATTCAGAACTGAAGTATGTAAAATAACATATGTGGCATTCAATGAAAAATGAGCAACCATGCAATGAAGCAGGAATATATGGCTAATAATGAAGAGAAAGATAAATGAGGAGAAACAAACCAAGAAATGATATGTAAAAGAAACAAGTAAGCAAGTGTACAACTATTAAAAATATAAAAGTGTAAGTTATATACTCAATTAGCAGAAAGCATGAACATTATGAGAAGAACAATAAAGGGTATAAAGATCTACATAGAACTTCTACAAGTAAAAATTACATTGTATAGGATTAAGAATACTTAGGCACTGCAGAAGAAAATACTACTACACTTGAAGACATCAAGAGAAATGATCTAGAATAAAACATGAGAGTAAATACATTGAAAAAATGTACAGAGTGAGTTAGCTATATAAAATGTCAGGTACTCTCATATAAGTGTAATTGAAGTCCTACAGGATTAGCAGGAGACAAAAATAGTTGACAAAATCGTGACCAAACAGTTCTCAAAGTCATTGAATACTACATAGACACATCCAAGAAGCCCAATGAACAGCAAGGAAAAGAGTGATGAAGAAAAACACAGAGGCTCATTATTGTCAAAGTTTTGAAAACCAGTGATAAAAAATATCGCAACAGCCAGAGATAAAAGAACATTACTCAAAAGGGAAAATGGTCATAAGATAAACAGCAAACTTATCAGACAGTGGAAATCAGAAGACAGTGGAATAACATGTTTAAAGCACTCATAGAAAAAATAACTGTCAACTTAATTATCCTATACACAGTAAAATGACTTTGAATTATGAATGCAAACCCAACTTAAAAAGCCAAGAGAAGTCTTCCCCAGCAGAGTAGCATGGCAAGAAATGTTAAAGGAAGTTCTTCAGGCAGACAGAAGATGAAAATTAGATGAAAATTTGGAGCTAAGTAAAAGAATGAATAGCAACAGCAAAGATAAATATGTGGGTAAATTTAAAACAGGATTGGATATTATTTTTATTATTAATATTTCTTTAAAAATAATTGACTATTGGAAGGAAAATTATACTGTATTGAGGGTTTATAATATATGTAAAGTAAATATGTATGGCAAAGATAGCAAAAAATTGTGAAGGAAAAATGGAAATATACTATCATAAAGAGTGCATGCTACATGTAATGAGGTATAATAATATTACTTGAAGGTAGACTGTGATATCAAGAATATCTTAAGCCTTTGCAGTTATAAAAAAGAAGTATACCTAATAAGTCAATAAAACTGATGAAATACAACAATGAAAAAATGACTAATCCAAGAGGAAAAAAGAAAAGAGGAACAGTAGAACAAAGACAATATGGGACACATAAAAGACAAATTGCAAGATGGTAAATTTAAATTTAAATGCAAACATAGATAATCACATTAAATATAAATGGTTTAAACACTCTAATTAAAAGGCAAATATTGCTATATTGAATAAAAATACAAGACCCAACTATGTATGCTATTTATAAAAATAACTTTAATATAAACTAATTAATAGAATGAACTGACAAGAATAGAAACATATTTCCCATGTAATCTGCAATCAAAAGAAAGCTAGAGTAGTTATGATATCAGATGAAGTAGCCTTAAGAACAGGAAGCATTATTAGGGATATAGAGGGTCATTTAATAATGATAGAGGTATAAGTTCCTCCACAAAATGTAACAGTCCTTAACTTTGTTCAGTAGAACAGAACAATCCTAAATGTGTATTCACCTCCTACCAGGAATTCAAAATAATGATGCAAAAACTGATAGAAATTAACAGAGAAATAAACAAATTCACATTATGAGTTAGAGATTTTGGCATGTCTTCTAAGATAATTAATACTAGAAGTAGATGGGAAGTCCATTAAGATACAGAAGCTATAAACAATACTAATAATCAAATTGAGCTAAATGACATTTATAAAATGTTCCACTCATCATCAGATTATATGTATTCTTTTCAAAGACACAGAACATTTACCAAGAGAGTCTCTATTCTGGCTTCCAAAACAAATCTCAATAAATTTAAACTGTTTATAATGAATACTAAGTATGTTTTCTGACTATAATGAAATTAAATAAGGAATCAGTAAAAATATATATATATATAGAAAGTTCTGAAAGATTTTGAAACTAAAGAATACAGTTAATGAAACTACAACTTAAAATTGGGAGATGCAGTTAAAGCAGTGGTTAAACAAAAACATATAGCAATAAAACTTATCTTAAAAGAGTTCTAAAATCAGTGTTCTATGTTTCTGGGTTGGAAACTAGAAAAGAGAAGATTAAGTGGAAAGTAAACATAACAAAGAAAATAAAGATAAGAAATCAATGAAATATAAAATAGTAAGAGTAGAGGAAAACCAATTAAAATCTGGTTCTCTAAGAATATTTCTAAAATTGATATAGCTCTAACCAAACTGATTATTAAAGAAAGAGATAACATACTATTTTCCAATACCAAGAAAGAGAAGTTATCACCTCACTCCTGTTAGAATGGCTTGTATCAAAAAGACAAAATAAAACAAGTGTTGACAAGGATGTGGAGAAAATGGAACTATTGTGCACTATTTGTGGGAAAGTAAACTGGTGCAGCCACTACAGAAAACAATATGGACCTGGCTGGTGTGGCTCAGTAGATCGAGTGCTAAGCTGTGAACCGAGAGGTTGCTGGTTCAATTCCCAGTGGGGGCACATGCCGGGGTTGCAGGCCAGGTCCCTGGTTGGGGGCATGTGAGAGGCAACTGATAGATGTATCTCTTGTACATTGATGTTTCTCTCCTTCTCTTTCTCTCTCTCTACCCTTCTCTCAAAAAATAGATAAATAAAGTCTTTAAAAATAAAAGAAAAGAAATAAAATATAAATTGTATTTAACTTTTAAAAAAGAAAACAATATGGAGGTTTCCCAAAAATTAAAAATAGATGTACCAGATGACCTAGTAATTAATGTATACACACACAAACACATAATGGAATATTATACACCCATAAAAAGTGAGGAAATCCTACCATTTATGACAACATGAAATACTTGTAAGTCAGCAGAAGACAAATACCATATGATCTGACTTATATGTGGAATAAAAAAAAACAAACCCACAGAAACAGAGAACAGATTGGTGGTTGGCAGGTGGGTGAAATGGGTAAAGATGGTCAAAAGGTACAAAATTCCAGCTATAAAATAAATGTCCTGAGGATGTGATATACAGCATGGTGGCTATAGTTAATAATACTCTATCATATGTTTGAAAGTTGCTAAAAGAGTAGATCTTAAGATTCCTTATCTCAAGGAGAAAAATTTGTAATGATGTGTGGTGATGGATGTTAACTAGACTTCGACTTTGCAGTATACGCATATAATGAATCATGTACATCTGAAATTAATATGATGTTATATGTCAATCATATGTAAGTGATTAAAAAAGTGATTCTATGTCTTTAAAGCATTATAAAAAAGGTTTTGTCTTGAAAACATAATAAAAGAAAATATGATAAATTTATGCCCCCAAAACTCAATAGCTGAGATAAAATGCACAAATTCCTTGACTACAGGACAGGAACATTCTCCCCATTTCTCTTTCACACCCACTGGAGTTGCTGGGGCACTTGGATAAGCAAATGAAAGAAATTGCATCAAGATTGTAAATGAACAAGTCAAACTATCTCTATTCGTAAATGGTATGATCTTGTACAAATACATTTCTAAAGAAATACAATGAAATTATAGAATTAATAAATGAATTTAGCAAGGTTAAAGAAAACAAAGTCAATACACAAAAATATATTTTAATCCTATATGGTTGCAATTGTACAATCTGAAAATGAAAAGAAGGAAAGATTTCTATTTTAAATAATATCAAAAACAATATAGGGCTGAAATTTGGTGACAGAGGATGGTTTGACTTTGGGTGGTGGGCACACAAAGCAATATACCGATCATGTAGCATAGAATGTATGCTTGAAACTTATATGACCGTAAAACCACTGTCGCCCCAGTCAGTTTAATTTAAAAGAGGAAAAAAGAATATAATACTTAGAAATAAATTTAACAAAATAAGCACAAGAAGTGTGCAATGAAAACTACACAATATTGTTTTAAAAAATTAAAGGGGATCTGAATGGAAAAGGATCCCAAGCTCATGGGTCAGAACACTTAATATTGTTAATTAACATGGCAATTACCAAACTTTTCTACATATTCAATTACATTCCTGTAGGAATCTCAATGGAGTTTTTTTTTTACAGAAATTGACAAGTTTATCCTAAAATTCATATGGAAAATCAAAGGACCAAAAATAGTTTAGGCAGTCTCGAAAGCTCTCATTCCTGATTTCAAAACTTAACCCCTCCAAAAGCTATAATAATCAGGACCTCATGGTACTGGCATGAAGAAAAATAGATCAATGGAGTAAAATTGAGAATCTACTTGAGAGTCTACAAATTTGCCCTTATATTTATGATCGGTTTATTACTGGCAAGTGTACCAAGGCAATTCAATAGGGGAAAGAATAGTATATTCCACAAATGATGCTGGCACAACTAGATATCCCTATGTGCAAGAATGGATTTGGGCCATGGCTGGTGTGACTCAGTGGATTGAGCACCAGCCTGCAAACCAAAGGGTCACCAGTTCGATTCCCAGTCAGGGCATATGCCTGGGGTGCAGGCCAGGTCCCCACACCTTGATATTTCTCTCCCTCTCTTTCTCCCTACCTTCTCCTCTCTCTAAAACTAAAAAAATAAATATATTTTTTAAAAGAATAGGCTTGGACCCCTACTTCACACCATACACAAACTAATTCAAAGTGATCATAGAACTAAACATAATAAATAAAGCTATAAAACTCTTAGAAGAAACCATAGGTCTAAATTTCTATGACTTCAGATTAAGCGATGGTTTCTTTAGGAGAATTTCTGGCCTGCAAAAGACACATAAATTATGATGCTATAACTTGGATTATGTAATAAGCAAAGCTATATTAAGTTTTATTAAAAATACATTACTTTTTAGTAGTGATTGTAGTCCTTCCACCACTGCAGGTTTGATTATGAGATGAATATATTTCTTGTCTCAGCTTTGAGAGTTCCTTAGAAATAAAAGGCAATATATAATCATTTGAAAACAGTAGAAATATGAGATACAAAGTATGTTCGACCATTTAACAAGGTTACCAAGAATAATTACTTGTTTTTCTTCCTTGTTCACCTTGAGGTAAAAATGTTCTAATCCCGCATGTTGAATACTACATATTTTTGCTTCATGGTGCCCAATAAGTTACATTACATGTCTGTGCAGGAATCCATTAGCGGGTATAGGATTTCTATATTTGAGGGATAACACGAGATTGAATGGATATGGTTCTCAAGATGATGTGGAAGGTTTTGTCCTAAAAAGCCTGACAAGTAAAGCCATAGCAGAAAAGTGCTGAAACTTCACAATGGAAGCATTGTTTCCTAACGGAAGTGGATCACTGAACATTACTACAAGTACCATTTGTTTAACAACAACAATACAATATCAGCCACTATTTTTGGTAGTTCCTTCCTTTGGTACTGGTTTTATAACAGCTCCTGGACTACCTGCTACAGATACAGAGAGGAATATAACACAGTCCCTTGCTAAAATGGCTAATAATGTAGTGAGGAGCTCCCAGTCTTATTGGGAGTTCCATGGGTGATGAGATATAAAATCAATATCTTCAGAATATGAAATAAACCATACTTATTTTTGCTTCGATTGTAGCTTTCATTTGAATTCTGTTTCACAAAATATGCATCTTCCACCACTTCACACTCACCTTCTACTTCCTGAATAAAGGGGGTCTTAGAAACATGGCCTCCTCTGACTCATGGACAGTTTCATCTTACAGGACTGAGTTGTATTGCTCCTCTCTACCTATATCCCAGCCTTTCTTACCTCTGACTGACGCTTTATAAGGGAATCCTTTTCTTCCAGCAAGCTCGTCAGTTCATGAAGCTTGAATTGGAAGTCACTGCAGCTTCCTTCTCTTCTCAATACATCTTTTTGGTACTGACTTAATTGAGTCTAAGAATTTAAAAAGACATGAGAATTATTTTAATTTTCATTTACAGGATAGGTGACTGAATTCCGGAAAGGTTAAGTGACAGAAAGTCATATAGCTAGCTATGAAATGAAGAGCAAAATACTAATAGTTATAAAAACTTATAGAACTTTATGAATGTAAAATATGAATTGACATGCAAAGTAGAAATGGATCATTTTTTAAAAAGCGCCTTTACAATTTAGGAAAAGACATTACCTAAGTAACAGCCCTAGGCCACAATAATTAAAATAATGCTAGGAAAACAGGGACTTTAGATCACTCAAATTCTAATTAAGGAAAACTCAATAATAATGGCTAATACATCATGATTTACAGTTCACAAAATATTCCTCCTGCATGGCTTATCTCAGTTCTCCCAGTAACCCTGTGAGATAAGCATTATTAGAACAGTTTAAAAAACAGGTGGATGAAATCCAGAGAGGTTAAAATGACGCAGATTTACATAATTAATAAAAAGCATAGCTGCAACTAATCCGGTCCATTTTCCTCTTTAGGTCCATTATTTGTGCACAGATGGCTGTTAAGTTAAAGTGTTATAGTTCCCATTAGGATGGGAAAACAACTAGGGGAGGAAGTCTGCTAGAAAAATCACTAGGCTTTTGAAGAAATTATATTTTGTCTCATCCTGACTTTCTGTTGAGATTGTCCAGTGATATTTGCTGAGAAAAACCTGTGGTCAGTTTTCCATTAACATGTTTAATATATTTAGCTACATTTAGGAATCACTAAATTAAGAGTTAGTCAATTTTGCCTAAAATTACAAGATAAGGCAATGTATACTTATTCTTACAAATATCACCTTAATTGTGATGCCAATTACACGTACATAATACGACACTGTTTTTATCCTTGTGCTTGACAGAGGTCTTCCTATGTATCAAAGTCAAGTGAGGATTTGTATGAACCCAACTGTGGCTTTGCTGGATAATCTCAAATGTTGCTCTTTCCTGTATAAGAATGCTTTAGGCAAGATCATAAAGGGTTCCCTGACTATCAAATAAATAAGTAGATAAAAATTAAAAACCAAAACCCCGAATTTAGTGTCTTTTTTATTTCCTAGAAAAGAGTAATCAAAATTAGAAAATAATTTAGCAATATTTCATACACAGTGATATGTATTTATGTAAAGGTTTTAGGGCATATTCCTAAAACTCTACCTTCACTTGATATTTCCTTGTAGCTTTAAACTTGAAACCATTATTATCCTCTTAGAAATTTTGTGGTGACTTGTGTAATGCAGTGTAGGATCAACATACCCTTAGCTTGCAGAGCTCTCTATCTTTCTCCATTCTTAAGTTTTTCACCATCTCCATGTAATAGTTGCCAACCTCATCCATTTTAGCCTGCAGCATCGGGCCTGTGCAAGTCTCAGAAACCTACCCAAGACAACACAAGTTTCTGTAATTGCATTGTTATGAAGGAAATAGACATTGTATTACAAGATTTATTAGATGAAAGCCCATGATTATATGAGAAATTGAAATAATGAGAGCACTTTTTATGAAATGCATTAGATAGCCCAAATGGCAGGGAGATAAGACATATCTACATAGGAGAACATCAGAACAAACTCCATGTATTTTCCCAAAAGGAAAAGGATTACATATATATAGTTATACACTGTAAACTACAAATATATATACTTGCCAATGCTAAGTTCACAATAGTATAACTAAGGCAGTCACATATGTTTAAAAAATTTAATACCTGCATTCTAAGATTTTTATTTTCTTGCTCTAAATTATGTTTACAGTATTCCATTTCTTTTAATCTATATTCCATGTCTGATAGTGTATGTCGAAGAGAGAGAATACTTTCTTCCAATGCTTGGCATTTTGAGTTTGAGTCTTGAAGTCCTTGCTGTAAAGAAGACATAAGTAAAGAAGACATAAATAAATAAGACAAATGGGTTCTACTTTGGGAGGGGCCATAGTGTTCTTTTAGTAAATTAGTGTGATGAATTAAAGCAAATATTGTTTCATCCCTAGTTTTCTTAAATATTGACCTTTTAAATTGTAAGTTAAATCAGCCAGGTAAAATATTACAATAGATTCTTGCCCATAGTCTGACTTGCCTATCTTATATGAGAAGGAATCAAGAAGACTAGATGAATTTTCTTCTTTTTAAATTTTTAAATTTTATTTTTTATTTATTTTTAGAGAGAGGGGAAGGGAGGAGAAAAAGGGAGAGAAACATCAATGTGTGGTTGTCTCTTGCGCGCCCCCTACTGGGGACCTGGTCCACAACCCAGGCATGGGAATTCCGCTGACTCGGAATCAACCAGCAATCCTTTGATTCACAGGCTGCACTCAATCCACTGAGCCACACCAGCCAGGGCAAGACTAGATGAATCTGACTCTTGTTAGTCTTTGACAATACTGTACCCTGCCTTCTAGTAGGGACCAAAATTACCATATGCCTGATTATTTATGTGACAACTGGCACTGTCATGGCAGTGAAGATCAGGAAAGTGTCAGCCTTAGAGACTCAATACAATTTCCTAGGAATCAACTCTGCTCAGACATCTGGAGATCACTTCTACAGTTGATTCTTTCACTGATTTATTGAAAAAACATGTGTTAAGATTTTTTTTTAAGTAATTACTTTTTTAAGATTTTATTTATTTATTTTTAGAGAGGGACGGGAGGGAGATAGAGAGACAGAGAGAGAAACATCAATGTGTGGTTGCTGGGGGGCATGGCCTGCAACCCAGTCATGTGCCCTGACTGGGAATCGAACCTGTGATGCTTTGGTTCACAGCCCGCGCTCAATCCACTGAGCTATGCTAGCCAGGTCTGTGTTAAGATCTTTAAAAAAAATTTTCTTCACGAAATGTCAGTAGATACAATCAATGAGTGAATTCAGATTTTCAATAGTTATGCAATCATTGTCATCCAACAGCATAGATGAGTGGGGACTGTGTAAACTTTATATTTAAAATACCTAAGGCTATCTTTTTCTGAGGGACTTTTCTGTCATTGGAAATATCAAAAACCACTCAATTCTCATATGAACAAATTGTTCCATCATATTTTAATAGTGTTTGGAGTGTATCTCATAACTCCAGTGTACCAGTAATTAAGCATAGGAAAAACCATCCATCTAGTTTATCATCAATGAAAATATGAAATTACCTGCTGCTGACGGTTATTTGCTCTCACTGATGCCAAGAGTTCTTCGTATTCTTTTATCTGAGTTTCTTTGAAAACCAAGTCTTTTTCAAGTCTTAACTTGTCATTTTCCAGGGACTAAAACAAAATTATTTGTTATGACTCAGAATTACAGAAACTGGTCCAAAGTCACATAATACAAAGACTCGTTTACATTGGAAGGTTTAAATAAGCACTTTTCACTTGTAGTTGCTAAGAAACAGAATTGTTAAACTTAAGCAAAATATGGGATACAAAAGTATTGAGCCTTTAAAAACCTGTACATTAAAAGAGACAACTTGATGAATTGACTAATTCAAAGTCCAACGAAGCAGAACCTTTTAAATTATTTTAATGTTTTACTCCAATCTTCAAAGACTCCTTGTTAATCCCAGCAGGTGGTAAATTTTCAAAGTAGAGTCTAAATGTGTTCATCAGAACTCAGAAAAAAAAATCCAACTCCAAAGTCCTCAAGGAGTTATTCATTGTATAAAAAATATTCTGAATGGATCTAATTGATGGCACCAAGAACAATTAAAATAGAAAAGCTTAAATTCTTAGAGAAGGACATTTTCAAGTATTCAGAAAAATTCAGAGTGTGTTTTATTTTTACAGAAAAGGGGGAGTTCCCATTCAATGAGTCAGATTCTGTATTCTAGTTTTAGAAGCTACTCCCTAGCTTTAAGCAGTAAATTGCCTTAGCTGTAAACTAATTAATAAGTGCATTCTCGACTTTCTTTCTTTTAACATGGGACAGCTTGTTTTCCCTGTCAGCATCAATGAACTGTTTCAAGAAATTAACGATGTCTAGGTAAGCATAAAGCTGTGTTGAACTAAATTTTAAAAGGTAGACTGAATGCCTTGATTTCTATGTTAGGAAGGTAGGAACTAGAAAGACTTTGGAAAGAAAAATCAAAATATATGTTACTGTCAAGTCATTTTGAAGATGACGAAGCTCCTCTCGTATGTTGCTGAATGTGGATAGCACTAGCCGGAGTGATTTTTCAGACATGCCCCTCATCTGGAGGAAGAAAACAATTACTGGTTTATTTATACTAGCATTTAAAAATAGGCAATGTAAGTGATACTGGTTCTGATTTTTCTGTTCCTACCAGCAAACTTATTAACAGTTTTATTTTTGCTATGACAATATTATTAATAACATGCATAAATAATTCAAGCAATTCTCCTGAAGAGATCATTGTTATATAATTAGAATAGAGTACAGTATTTTTTTTCATGATGAAGTAACATCATTTTCACAAGATAGAAATTTATCAAGAAATTCTCAAATTTACTTTTATTCTTTATTGAAATATTAGAAAAGATGACACGGTCAACCTTCAAATAGTAAAATACATCTTCCTAAGTATGCTGCCAAATGCATGGATTTTGCCTGCTATACTAGTTAAGTTTAACCTTAACAGATAGAAACATCTGAAATTATAAACATGTGGGATAGAAGTCCTTTTACTAGGTTAAACTACTTTTTTAAAAGAAAAATGCTTTTTTTTTTTTAAAGGCAATTGTCATTTCTTGAAAGGTGAACTAGAAATACTTTTTCCTGTTTCTCTTGCTAAGTTTAATTAAAAGCCCTGGATGTTATGTATGAAAAACTCTGAAAGGTGAAAAGACAGAAGTCTCGTTAGGATCACTGGGACCTGAAGAACAATACAGAAGTGAGTTCCCAGGATTTCTTTTTGCTTCTTATATCACAGGCTGGTGTTGGGAAAATCAACAACACAGAAACACCAATTGGTACAAATAAAAGTCCCTAGAAAAGCTTGCTCTTTGTAGCCAAAGGACCATGAAAATGGCAGCCTAGTAAGGTGAAGAACTTTTAGATTAATAATCACTCTAGTCCAGCTAAACACCACAGAAGAAAAGAATCCCTGCAACTCTACTCTTACCAAAACCATCAAAGGCCAGGAACCAAGCCTAGATTCTCCCTCTCAAGAGACCTTAAAAAGGTGCACCAATGCCACTCACTAGCTGGGTGTTAGAAAAGGGAGGGTGGAAAGATGGGGCTTTTGCTCCCACTGAGCAAAAATGAGACCTCAGGCATTGTGGTGCCTATTGAGACTATGAAAGGAGACTATGCTCTCACTTTATTCAGCAGGAGTGAAATACTGCCCCATCTCCCTGCTACAGTGATGTCAGAGGATGCTTAGCGGAGAGTAGGGACTGTTATCACTGCCCAACGGAAATGAGACCACTTAACTTGCAGTGTTTCCTTCCTATCTAAACCAGATCCTAAAAAAGCTGGGGCCTAGTAAAGAGCCACAATTCCTATCTCTGGTCAGGAAGAACAAGAAGCTTTTTCCCTGATAAAAGTAAGTAAAGGTTAAGTGGGGAACTTGAACTTCTACTCCCCATCTGGCAATAACAGACAGTGCTCCCACTTCCCCTGTAGTTCCAATATCAAAGGAGGCCTGCTAATATAGAAGATTTGGAGAAGATCCAGAGTCATAACACAATACTCCAAATGTCCAAGTTTCAATTTTATTTTATTTTTTAAAACTTTTGAAGAAATTTTATTTATTTATTTTTACAGAGGGGAAGGGAGGGAGAAAGAGAAGGAGAGAAACATCAATGTGTGGTTGCCTATCTCATGCCCCCAACTGGGGACCTGGCCCGCAACCCAGGCATGTGCCCTGAATGAGAATTGAACCAGCGACCCTTTGCTTTGCAGGCCCATGCTCAATCCACTGAGCCACACCAGCCACGGCAAGTTTCAATTTTAAAAATCACCCATTATTCCAAGAACCAGAAAAATCTCAACTCGATAAGAAAACAAATTAATAGATGTCAACATCAAGATAACAGAAATGTTAAAATTGTCTAAAAAGAATTTTAAAGCAGACATTAAAAATGCTTCAACAAGAACTTACTGACTTACATAAAAAAATAGAAAGTGTCAGCAACAAAATGGAAAATCTCAGAAAAGAAGTATAAAATATAAAGAACAAATTGATGAAAATTTTAGAATTGAAAAGCTCAGTAACTGGAAAACAAAAATCTCAATGGGTGGACTAAAAAACAGAATTGATCGTATAGTGCAAAGAATTGGTGAAGTTGAAGATAGAACAATAGAAAGTACTGAATCTAAACATCAGAGAGAAAATATATTGGAAAAAATTAAACAGAGACTGGGAGACCTGTAGGAGTATAAAACATATCTAACATGTCATCAAAATCTTAGAAAGAAGTAAATGTGGAGCTGAAAAAGTATTAGAAAAAAATGACTGAAAACCTCCAAATTAGCAAAAACCATGAACATACATATTCAAGGAATAGAACAAAGTCCAAATATGATCAACCCAAAGAAATCCATGCCCAGACAAGTTGGTCGGATTTCTTAAAACTAAAGATAAAATCTTGAAAGCAGTAAAAGAAACCTTAACTATTAGGAGTAATGTTTCTATTTACAGCAGATTTCTCATCAGAAACCATAGAGGCCAGAAGAAAGTAGCATACACTTTGTAAATGCTGAAGGAAAAGAATGGAAGAATTATCAACTACAAATTCTGTACGTAATAAAAATATAATTTAGGAATGAAGGGGAAATCACAACATTTTCAGATAAAGGAAAATAAAAAGAATCTATCACTAAAACCTACCTTAAAAGAACAGCTAAAGAGAAACCAAATAATACAAGGAACAATTTGGAGCATCAAGAAAGAAGAAATAACATATATATGTATATATTATATTATATTATTATTTATTCTATTTATTCTGTTATACTGTACCTGGAGATTATTATGATAAGTGAAACAAGCCTGTCAGAGAAAGACAAATACCATATGGTCTCATATATATATATGGAATCTAATGAACAAAATAAACTGATGAACAAAATTGAACCAGAGGCATGGATACATAGACCAGACAGGCAGACAGCTGTCAGAGGGAAGGGGACAGGGGGACTGGATGAAAGAAGATAATGACATTAGCGAAAGAACATATATGCATGACCCATGGACACAGACAATAGTGTGGTGAAGGCTGGGATTGGGGGATGGGTGGAGGCAGCAAACGGAGGAACATGGGGATATTTCTAAACACTTGGAAACATATGGGGACATATATACACTTACACATATATATATGTATATATATATATAAAGTTTATGTATACATGTATGTTTATGTATCTACACACACATATAGTAAAAGGTTGGAAAAAATTATACTGTGCAAACTTTTATCAAAAGAAAACAGGCATGTTATATTTACATTTGATAAAAAAGACTTCAGAGCAAAGACAATTACCAGGGAAAGAGAGGGCCATTACATAATGATAGAAGGGTCAGTCCACCAAAAAGACATAGATAGCAATTATGAATGTTTAGGAACCTAACAAGAGAGCTGCAAAAACATATGCAACGAAAAGCAATAGACTGAAAGGAGAAATAAACAAATCCCCAGTTATAACTAAAGACTTCTATACCCCTGTCTCAGCAGCTGGTAGAACCACTTGGCAGAAAAGTAGCAAGAATATAGAAGAACTCAACGACACTATCAAACAAAGGATCTAATCACCATTTATGAAAGACTCTGTCCAACAACAGTTACACATTCCTTTCATGTGCCCATGTAATATATAGCAAGATAGACCATATCCTTTACTTAAACAAAACTTAACTATTTCAAAAGAATTGAGTTCAAATGGAATATGTACTCTGAACACAATGGAATCAAACTAGAAATTGGTAACAGAAAGGCAACAGGAAAATCTCTAAACACTTGGAAACAAAACAATACACTTAAAAATAATCCACTGGTCAGAGCAAAAATGTAAAGGGAGATAAAGTTACCAGAAAAGGGGGTACAGGTAGGTATAAAGGGTAAGTGGGGGGTAAATGGCAATGGAAGGAGAGTTGAGTCGGGGTGGTAAACACACAATAGAACATACAGATGATGTATTCTACAATTGTACACCTGAAGCCTATATAGTTTTATTAACCAGTTTCACCCCAATAAACTCAATAAGTTAAAAAATAAGACAGAAATACACAGAACTGAAAGGAAATGAGAATACGTATCATAATTATGGGACACAGCTAAAGCCATGATGAGAGGATATTTATAGGAAAGGTCCCAAATTAGTCTCACTTCCTTTATCAAAACACTGGAAAAAGAAGAGCAAAATAAACCAAAAGTAAGCAAAGAAAATAAATAATGCAGACAAGAGCAAAAACCAGTGGAAGTGTAAACAGGAAAACAGTAGAGGAGACCACTAAAACTAAAACCTACTTCTTTTCGAAAGAAATCAATAAGCATGATAAACCTCCAGCAAGACTGACAAATAAAATCAAGGAATAGGAATGGAGGAGTCATGGACACGGACAATGGGGAGGATTGACTGTGGGAGTGGGGGCGGGGGGTGGTGAGCAATGGGGAAAAGGTGGGACAACTATAGCTGAACAACAGTATAAAAGGACAAGATACAAATTACTAGTATTAACAAATAAGGGATAGTAATACAGACCCTGCAGACATCAGAAGGGTAATTAGGGGATACTCTGAACAACTATAGCCATATAAATTTGACAATTTAGATGAAATGGACTATTTCCTTGACAACCACAAGCTACCACAACTCATCTAATATGAAACATCATTTGAATAGGCCTATGACTATTTAGGCACTGAATTTAGAATTAAAAAAAAAAAAGCTGCCAAACAAATATCCAGGTCCAGATATTTTTACTGAGGGTTCACGAAATGTTTAAAAGAATTAATACCAAGTCTATGCAGTGTCTTCCAGAAAGTAGAAAAGGAAGAACCACATCTCATTGCACTTTATGAAGCAAGTATTATTATCCTGATAACAAAACCAAAGATAATACAAGAAAATTATAGACCAATGTCTCTCATGATCTTAGATGCAAAAATCCTTAAAAGAATTTTTTTTTGTACAAATAGTCCATGAATGCACTTTGGATGAACATCCCACTTCCAGATATAATATTGAGGATGTCTCCAGGATTCAGGTTTTGTGGAGCATATACGTTCCCCATACCACTGTCTCTTTATAATACAGATTGTATTATGATCTTTCATTTCAGTTTTACAAATACGACACTAGGTCCAAAATTTGGATGATCAACAAAGCTTTGAGACCAAATGTCAAATTTAGAAATTGTCTTCTTTACACAAAACTAGATTATCTTCAGAATGCTTTCTTGCAAACACATGTGTTCTTTTTAGTCATATTCCCACAGTATTAATCTATCTCTCCCTTTATTGTAGGGGTATTGACTTCTCCAGTGGTCTCTAGCCTTCCTCAGTTTAGGAAAAGCAAGGCAGGAAGGAGAGACCAAGGGAATTCCATGTTAAGGAATAATACAGGGTGGGACAAAAGTAGGTTTACAGTTGTTTGTATGGAAAATAACACAATATTAATGAATAGTGAAACAAGAATAAACTCTGTGTTTCAGTCTCACAACTGTAAACCTACTTTTGCCCCACCCCATATTTCTAGAACATTTCCCTAAATGCTAGTAGTCATGTGTGTACTACTAGTGTTTGATGGTCTGACCAAACTATAATACAATCAGAATCTAATCAATTAATGTGAAAAATGATTTTATTAGAAAATTTCTGTTCTTAATTAAGGGAAGTATCTTAACCTAATGGTTTGTTAGTGTTGCTGTCACACCCACTCTTGACCCCAACTCACCTGCAGAATATAGCGAATTTGCTGTTTTGTAAACTCTGACAATCCTTTGGGAATCAAGGATTCAATGTCTTCTGACTGTAAGAAAAGAGAGGCTCATCCTTTAAACAGTTACACATTAGTATTTTAATCTTATGATCAGAGTTCACAGACTTTTGTGCATCGGACTTATTTTTAGAGACATCAAAATATTATTTTACATTTCAGGTAATACTTGTTACAAATTTCATTTCTGACCTTATCAGTTCTTACTTTGAAAACATAGATTGTACTCCATTCACCATGGAAAGAATCCTGAATTTCAGGCATTTTAGGGAAAAGCTTTGGACAACCAATCAAATGTTCCATGTCTATTTTTTAAAGATTTTATTTATTTTTTTGTTTATTTTAGACAGAGAGGAAAAGAGGGAGAAAGAGAGGGAGAGAAACATCAATGTGTGGTTGCCTCTCACATGCCCCGCACTAGGGGCTTGGCCTGGCCGACAACCCAGGCACATGCCCTGACCAGGAATCAAAGGAGGTCCTTTGGTTTGCAGACTGGCGCTCAATCCACTGAGCCACACCATCTAGGGCCCATTTCCATTTTTTTTTAAAAGAGCAATTTAAAAAGAAGAGAATGGTCTCTTAAATCCCATTAAACACTTTATTTCAATATATCTTTCAAAACCTTCTGGAAATTTTGTTTTGTGGTACATATGAAATTTTAGAGGCTGATTTTAAACAAGGAAAATTTGGGGAAATAAAATTATATTAAGGGTTTACTGAAAATTTACACAGAGCTGTGGTGACTTTTGAAAGCTAATGTTGCCACAACAATTTAGAACCTTAAACTAATTTTAAGTGAGAAGTTGATTTAAACTCAATATTTTTAAAGGCAATTTAGGGCTTATTGAATAATTGTAATAAATGCAATACATCAATACATTGGAAACAAAGATAAAAATTAACACAAGAATGTTTCATTACATTAAATTCTGTTCTTTCTCTGGTTGATGACTTATTTCATTTAAAGTACTTATTAACAAGATGTGCATATATAATAAAATTAATACTTGTAGGAATACTTCAAGTTGCTGGCTAATTGTCATGGGACATACAAGTTCTCAAAATACATTAAAACTGAATTTGCTATTTATTTAATTAATGTAGATTTCAGTTTTATAAAGCAGAGAATATGTGGTCAATGCAATTTTAAATGTTCTGATGAGCAAAGACAAATTCAGTCATAAGATGGCAGCTGATAAAACTTTTTGTATGAGTGATTTAAGATTACTTTTATAGTGATTACAAAGATATAAATGGCTATATCATTTTAAAAGCAAAATGATCATTATTTCTTGTTCTCAGGTTCATCAAGAGACCAAATGAACCTGTGCTCCCAGTCTAATAAAGGTACCAAACTAAAATAATATAATTAGTGCAAATATCAGAATTTACTTTGCAATCAGCTATGTTTGAATTTAACTTTCTTTGCACTTACCTCATCTGTGGACTCAAAGTCCTGTTTGCTGTAAAAATGAAAAAGAAAGATAGATAATAAAAGAAAGATAGATAGGAAAATATATACATTGATAATATATGAATATTAATGTTCTAAATATTTTATATCACCTTTTTAATGTATCATTACAGCACCAATTCAAGTTATAGTGCAAATGAAAAAATTAAATAACTAAATGACACAAATATGAAGATAATTTTCCTGTACTAGTTAATCTGTTCCAAATAAATAATAACCAAATAACAAACTAATAGGATATGCAGAGTTGGTTAGTAGCATCCATTCATACCAGTCTGTTTGAGGCTACATGGAGAAGTCCTCCATGCCTGGCAATAAATGCTACCTGAGTGAATAAATAATGATTATGCTTCCCTTTTCTCCTTGCATTGCTCCTTTTCAATGTTGATTCCACCTTCTCTCTACAGTGTGTTTCAAGTTGTATCAAAACCCAAACTTGCAAGATAAGACTGAGTAACTCATTCAATCTACACTACAATATAATTAGCAGAGACAAAGCTTAGAGGGTATTTGAATGTTTGTATAGGAACAGACCTTGAGCGACATGGCCAAACTTTTAGTATAATAGAACTTCCAGCATCAAAATGAGGGTTTGACCATGAGGGTTGGAAGGCCCTTTTTGAAGCCATGCTTGGTAAGCAAATGCTGAGAGAAAATTGCTGGTGATTATATTGGTCTGGCATTGTCTTTATTGGGGAGCAGTGAAGGCTGGGAAGGATGCAGTTCTAGTGTTGTCAATGGCAACAGACGGGCCTTTATTTTTGCCTGCTTGCTCCCACTGCGCTTAGTGGAAGAATTGGGCCCAAAATACATGCAGTAAACATACTTCTCAAACAAAAAAACAGTACACATGTTCTGAAAGCAAGATAGAATACATTACAGTACAATAAGACAGTCTTAGAAAATCATAGATATGTGATTGTCATATCCTCAGTAAAACCAGGAACATGTTTTAGAGACATTAAGCTAGTACATTTCAGCTAGCTTAATATTACATTAGCTAGTACATTAAGCTAGAGATATTAAGCTAGTTTCCACATTTACCTTCTAAGTAACTATGAGTAATGTATTGCTTATTGAAATAAATGAGTCACTCACTGTGCAAAATCTGTTGCATGCATTTATAAAAATGTACAAGGTAATGTAGAGAAGAGCTGAAGATTCCATTTCCCAACACATAACTGCATATGCCGAATCATGTGTATATATGTATGTATGTATGTATGTATGTATCTATATGGTATTTCCTGTGTCACCCAAAATAATAGAAATTGTTGAGCGGCCCTAGCAAAACAAAATCAAGTATCTTCTACTTATTTAATATTTACTAAAGTAAATACATGCATATATTGGAAGGTAAAACAAGTTAAAATATGAATCACATTGCAGTTTTAGTAGTCTTGCATTACTGTTAATTGAAGTTATCACTGTATTAGCAGGCCTTTTATGTTTAAAATTTGAATTCCAATGCCGATCTAATGCACATGTGCTCAGTCCCTTACTGTTTTCTACAAATAAGAAAGCAATACAAAGAAACAAAACAAGAAACAGCCAACAGCCCTTAATATTAGGATATTAAAGAGTATCCAGAATGGTTTTATGAGACAACCTCCTGTAATGTTGACCCTGGAGCACACTCCTTGTTGAGTTGCAACCTGGAATGCAAAGTGGAGACAAAAGAGGAGGGAGAGATGGAGAAAGCAGAGAAACGGAGCAGAGTGGGAGGTAGAGGTGGAAAGGTCAGTGAGGATTGCCTCTCTATTCAGCACTGGGGGTGGAGGCTGGAATTACACTGGGAAAACAAATAAAGTGGCACTCACTTTATACCCTCTCATCTCCCAAAGAAGAAACAAATGTAATATAGGAAAAAAAAAAAAAAAGAAAACAGGAAAGGAATGAAGGGAAAAACCCTGACAACCTTATGAGCCACAAAAACACTTAAACACCAAAAGTTTGACATCCTCTCCATCATGGAGAGTTTAATGTGGAGAATAACTTTAGATTTTGTTTTTGGTCTTTTTAGCTACTCTAGGAATTAAATTCAAAGCTTTGCAGTGCTTAATTACACATTTAGGTCATCCATGTGTATTTAACCAAACCCCTCAATTAGAGGAAGTTATTTCAAAACTCCATATTACACCTTTATCTGGATAATTGTTATGAAATAATTGAACTTTCCTTGGTAGGTTGCTTTGTCTACTTCGATTTAGTATGAGACTAATAAATTTAGAATATATTGAACTCTCCTTCTGAAAACCTTTATTGAGCAGTGACATTGTCAACGCCACATGTTCTGCATTGTTTTGGGGCAACATAAAACACAAGTATTATGTTGTCTTGTACTTTATACAAACATAATTGTTCCAAGGCAAAATTTCCTCTGTATAAAATTGGTCTAAATCCTGTGACTTTTCAAATGTGATGATTCAAAATTTTGATAATTCCTTTAATTTGTCAGCAATATTGTTTAAGTGATTGGTACTTAAGCAATATCTAGTAGTGAAAACAAATTTCTCAGAGTCCCAGATCTTGCCACTTGTGTAGCCCGAGGTCAGCGATTTTCAACTTTTTTCATCTCATGACACATCTAAACTAATTATGAAAATTCTGCAGCACACCAAAAAACATATTCTAATTTTTGCTAATCTGTAAAAAATAGTTATAATTTTGGTTCATTCAAACAGGGGAGCTTTAGTTATGTTGGCTGTTGTTATTTTTTTATTTGACAATCTAAGGGAAAAAAGATCAGTGCCCCTGAGTAAGTAGTCAGGTATTGCATGTTTTAAAGGTTCTCGAGGTTCTTTGGTTGAATATCACTGCCTTAGGTCTATTTTCAAACTTGAAAATGTATCAGAATCCTCTGGGAAGAGCTTATTGCTCAGCTCTACCCCCAGAGTTTCTCATTCTGTGGGTTTGTTTTCTAAGTTCTCACATTACGTTGATGCTGCTTGTAAGAAATCTATGAGAGAAATATTATTATAGCCCCTATTTTATGGATGAAGAAACCAAGGAACAGAGAGGTTAAACAAGTTAGTCGATATTATACATCTGGTATGTAACCAAAGTTGGAATGTGAATCTGACATAGGAAGTCTGGATCTATTATCAGGGTACTTAACAGTGTGTGTCTATATTCTCCTGATTTTACAAAGGGATACTTTGATAGAAATATTCACAGGGCATTATGAATGCACAGAAGAGGAACACGGAGAGCAAAATGAATATCTAGGCACCACTTTGCAGAAAAACTAAGTCATAGTTTATAGCTAAAGAGTACTAAAAATGTTTCAATTCATCTCAAGCACTTAGAAAGCATGTGACTTTGAGTTAACAACCTACCCTTTTTGCGTCTTCATTTAAAACATTCTAGCATTCCTGTGCAAATTAAGATAATACAGAAAAAGCACAGTGTGGCACTTAGTACACGTTCAATAAATAATTGACTACTCAGAGTGAGGGAAAAGAGTTTAAGATACTGACTTATATAAATGGATGAATCTGTGAAATAGTTTTTTGGGTAATCAGAGAAAGTGTTGATTAGTATAAACAGTAATAAAGGCTTAGCTTCCAAAATGGAAATCATGCATTTATAATGACTCCAATTCAAATAAATGCCTGTGCTTTGCTGTAACAGTGTTTAACTGCATGGATGTAGCATTCATGATGTTAACTGTTAATGTAACTGTTCATTCATTCATTCATTCATTCATTCAACAAAGATTTACTGAGTCTCCACTAAACCAGTCATCAGGGAAACCAGGGTCAATAAAACAGCCCTCATGGAGCCCTTCTAACTCTTTGGGTAGTGGAGGTTGGACACTGGGTGGAGGAGATAGCGATTTAAGAAAAACAATAAATAAAGCAGAGAGTTAAACTAATTCAGAACCGGGATTTTTTTAAGTGGGAAGGACAAAAAGATCCAGAGGCAAAGCAGTTGAGAGTAATCATAAGCAAATGGTTGCAGTCATGAATATAAAAGCAATAAAATTCAGGGAGAAAGAAGCTTAACATGGAGAGGAAAATGTGATAAATGGAAAAGAAAAGAGATGCACAACAGATTAAAATGTCTAAGAAATACTAGAATCTAGTTTGGGAGTCAGAACTGGAAAAAATTCTACTGACTTTCTCCTATAGATTTTTATGAATTTGTGGAGCTTTCCAAGATTTTGCCTGATAGATGACCACAAACACAGGGTGAGACAGAAGTGAGTTTACAGTCAGTATGTGAAACAGAGTTTATTCTTGTATTATTATTTATTAACTATTGCATTACTTTTCATATGACTAACTATAAACCTACTTTTGCCTCATCCTGTATAATGGGACTATGTAGTAGAAAAAATTTTGGAAGTGTGTAACATATATATTTTATTTATATTACTTTATAGATAGTCATATAATTTATATTTGGTATATTGTATGCAATATAATATTAAAATAGTATACAATGTTTATAATATATAACATTGAATGCATACTGAATGCTGGCCTTCATATGTTGACCACACATCAGCAGAAGAAACAGTAATGTGTTGGCAGTGGGATTGTGTCTTGTATCATCAGTGTAGTATGTTAAAACAAGTCATAGTATATCATGCATTTTTTAGCTCTTTGTCCAAGAGGCTGCATGTGCCATAAAAATACATTACAAAAGAAGGTGTACAGAATTCTTTACTGATCCTAAAGGGCTGGTATGACCTCTTTGATGATTTTCAGAAAGTAAATTAATTCTTAAAATGAGCCATTTGCTATATCTCCTTATATAGTTGTGCTGTTTCTCCATTAAAAGTACTAGAGTTTTGCTGTGAACCCAAAACTTCTCTAAAATGCTTTGTTGAAAATACTAGATTATCATAAAATATTCGATAGCTACACTATCAAGGCAAATGATATATTTACCGTACCTTCCTCCAATTCTCTGCAAATGTTCTAATAGGCAGTGATATAGATCTGTATTTTTGCGGCTTAGATCAGCAAGTAACTCTCCAAAATATTTGGGGTCCAATTTTTCAGGGCCATCATCCTGAATCACCACCTGAAGAAAACATCAACCTCAATTATAAACAATATCGAGTATTTCTAAATTCACAGATGTTTTTGATAGAAAATGAAAAAATGAAATAACCAATTAATACAAGTAACTCATTACAAGGTTATCACATAAATCAAGCTACTGAATTTGTTTGCATCTGGAGTATACATTTTTTTCAATATAGGAGGAATTTAAAGGAAAAGCAACATTGTAATAACATTTTTAATTTCATTTCACACAAGTCTAAATGACCTAAAAATGCAAACTTGAATAATTTATATAAAAGTTCTGGAATATAGATGCTTACATAAAACAGTAAAACAAGTAAATCAAAATCTCTGAATTGCCCATTATCACCACATGGCTTACCCATCTGTCCCATTTTGGGAAAAAAATGTGAAACATTTGAATTATACTGACTACAGAAGAATTAATTTCATTTGGACTTGCATCTTCCCAGTGAAAGTCGGCCTGATTTATTAGCATATCTTAAAGTTAGAATAAATAAATCTTCAATTCCATGTGTTTGTATGAATTTCTTGTTGGATGCCATCCATTTATTACTTAGACTGAATAGCCAATCAATCAGATATTGGAAAGAGTAGCTCAGGGCCAAATATAGAAAATTCTTAGACCCCAGACACTTCTGAAATCCTAAACACAAAGCACTATGAATAGAGTCCTAAATAAGACCTATTCTGCCTATCTGGTGTGGCTCAATGGATTGAGTGCCGGCCTGAAAACCAGAGGGTCTCTGGTTCCATTCCAGGTGGGGGCACATGCCTGGGTTGTGGGCAAGGTCAGGCCCCCAGTAGGGGGAGCATGAGAGGCAACCACATAGTGATGTTTCTCTCCCTCTCTTTCTCCCTCCCTTCCCCTCTGTCTAAAATAAATAAATAAAACCTTTAGAAAAAAAGAACTATTCTATTAACTTCCTATCTTTTGGTACCAATCTTTTCAGTAATGTTATCCACCTTGCCTAACATCTCCAAAGCAACACTACCTGAAGGTTAATAAACTGGGTTGCATGTCATACTATCTTTGATATTGCATGTGGGACAAAGGTGCCCTATAAAAACACATATTCATAAGTACATGTATGATAAATGAACTTCAATTTTTTATTTTTTATTGAATTTATTGGGGAGACATTGGTTAATAAAGTTACATACATTTCAGGTATACAAGTCTCTAACATGTCATCTATATATTATATTGTGTGTTCACCACCCCAAGTCAAGTCTCCTTCCATCACCATCCATTCTTCCTTTACCCTCTTCTACCTGCCCCTGCTCCCTTTCTATCTGCTAATCACCACACTGTTGTCTTCATGAATTACTTTTTTTTTTGCTTAATCCTTTCACCATTCTCACACAGCTCCTCAACTCCCTGCCCATCTGACAGCTGTCAGTCTGTTCTCTTTATGAGTTACTTTCTATTTTGTTTGTTTATTTTCTTCATTAGATTTCATATATAAATGAAATCATATAGTATTTGTAAGGACAGTGTATTCAATAAATGGTGTTGGGAAAATTGGACAGATCCATGCAAAAAATGAAACTACACTACCTTCTTAAACCACACACAAGAAAAAATGGATTAAAACTTTTAGAAAAAAATATAGGCAGTAAAATCTCAAACATTTCTCTTAGTAATATTTTTTTCTGAGATATTTCCTTGGACAAGGTAAACAAAAGAAAAAGTAAACAAATGAGACCACATCAAACAGAAAAGTTTTTGCACAGCAAAGGAATCCATCAACAAAACGAAAAGACAACCAACTGTATGGGAGAACACATTTAGTATCCAAAACTTATAAAGAACTCATATGACTAAACACCGAAAAAGCCCAAGCAATTGAATTAAAAATGGGAAAAGGACCTGAATAGATACTTCTCCTTAAAGGATATGCAGATGGCCAACAGATATATGAAAAAATGCTCAATGTCACTAATCATCAGAGAAATGCAAATTAAAACCACAGTCAGATATCATCACCTCGCATCTCTCCAAATAACTATCATCAATAAATCAATAAACAGTGTGTTGGCAAGCATTTTGACTTCGAATTTGACCAATGATACTTCCTTTTTAACTTGTCCTCTAGATGCAGACCCTAAAAAGTCATGCATGCTGAGGTAAGTGAAAGGACTGCAAAGTAAGCAAAGATGAGCTTTGATAATAATGTCTGTGACATTATAATTCATTCATAAAATACAGATAAGTAGAAAAAAGCCACACTCAAAATACAGTATAGCATCACTATATTTTTATTAATATATACATTTTTCACATTTTAAAAAAGTCTGATTACATTACAACATTATCTTGTCCCTGTACCCTTTCAAGTTGCTTTCTTGGGGAAGTAATGATTACTCCCCAAACAGAGTAGTCTTCTAAATGAAAGTCTAAATAGATAGATAAACTGATAGAGTCAATATCATTACACAGTATATTTAAATGTCATCATATTAATAAGCTGCATGTATTCAATATAAAACCTATAAATGCTTACATGATCATAGTAACACACTCTATGTCCTAACATGGTCTCTGTTTCAGCAGTAGTAAATTTCACTTTCCTGGGCATACATCTCATTATTCTGGCCTGTAGTCTTCACTCACATTTTTGCTGCTTCAGATACTCTTTAATACCTATATTTTGAAATTTATCTCAAGATTTACTACCAGCATGAAAATTGAAACTATTCTAGCCAACAAGCTAATTCAATTTAGCTCTTTGTGCTCAATTATCTTGAATATTTTTCATATTATTTTACATATGTAAATCTTGATTTCTCAGCATCCTCTCCCTACATAAAAGAAATAAACAAAATGGTAAGAAAATGAGTCATATGAGGTTTGTCCAGAAAAACTCCAGCTATTGTTAATATAATAAGAACAGTTTGAGTGATGTTGATATAACCTGGCAGCCAAGGAGAGTGGACTGGAATGCACATGCATGAACAATGATGACTTCAGTGTACCAGTCAGTGGGGGTGGTAGACACTGTTGAGTGAGCACGTGTACTGTGTGGCCATCACATTCAAAATGACTGAGTGAGTAGAGCAACGCATCTGCATCAAATTTGTGTTAAGCTTCAACATTTCTCCATGGAAACTATTTGTATGATTCAGAAGGCTTTTGGAGATGATTCAATGAGTGTAATGCAAATGAAAGTGTGTCACACTGTTTCAAGCATGCTTGAAAAATCTGTTCAAAGTGATCCACATTCTGCAAGGCCTGCAACAAGCAGAACACCTGAGAATGTTGAATGGGATGCAATGAACAAAGATCAGCAACTGACAGTGCAAGAACTAGAAGCTGATCTGAGGATTCCAAAAACTACTGTGTCCAAGACTTTGATGCAGGATCTTGCCATGAAACATGTTGTGGCAAAATTTGTTGCACGGCTTCGGCTACCAGAGCAGAAGGAACATCATGGTGCAGTTGCTAATGACTTGACTCAAACTGCTACCAATGAACCAGATTTCCTCAAGGTCATAACTGGAGATGAATTGTGGGTCTATAGCTATGATCTGGACATGAAAGGTCAGTTGTGCCAATGGAAGTCACCTGGTTATTCACACCTGCAGAATGCGTGGCAAAGTCACAGCAAAATCAAGACCGTGTTAACTGTGTGTTTTGATTGGGAAGGTGTTGTCCATCATGAGTCTGCTCCCTCTCCAGGAAAAACAATGAGTACTGCTTCAATGTTCTTTGTCAGTGAGAGATGTAATACAACGAAAATGGCCATAGGTATGGACAGCTGGTGACTGGCAGCTTCATCACGACAATGCACCCGCTCATGTATCATGTCTCATGCACAGTTTTTTGGTAAAACATCAAATCACCCAGGTGACTCAGCCCCCCTACAGCCCAGATTGGTGTCCTGCAACTTCTGGCTTTTCCACAAACTCAACTCACCTTTGAAAGAGTAGAGATTTCAGACTGTCAATGAGATTTGGGAAAATACAATGGGGTACCTGATGGCAATTGGGAGATCTGGACGAGGTCTCAAGGTGTCTACTTTGAAGGGGACTGAGGTGTCATTGTCCTATGGACAGTGTTTTTTGTATCTTCAATAAATGTCTCTATTTTTCATATTGCATGGATGAATACTTTCTGTACAGACTCGTAATTTTTATCATATCCCATAGTATGTACTACAATACTGATTGAACATGCTATAGTTGCTTATGAAGTATTTGTTAAATTGAAAGAAGTCAACTACCTATTTAGAAGTGACCTCAAATGCCAACTAATTTTGGAAATAGTTTTTTGTTTTGTTTTTTATAGGTTTCTCTCTTAAAGCAGCTGACCAAAAATGATTAAGAAAGCCAGAAAGAGCCTAGGCAACACTTCCTCAAGAATACTGTGGCAATCCTTTATACCCATTTCCCTAAGTGCAGACAAGTCTAATTCTAGCAAGTAAACTGAACTCCTTGTAGAGATGGAGACTGACATTTGAGTTCTACCTAGATTTCTAGATGTTGGCAATCAGATCTTCAGTGACAGACCCCTTTCAGGAAACAAAGGTCAAATTAAGCAAATATCTATTCATAATAATCATGAATAATTTTGATTTCATATTTCATTCATGCATTTGTCCCTTATGGAATATCTATATATTCACCAAAATGGGACTGTTATAAACACATGGTTTAAAATATGATTTTAAAAATCAACATTAACTGCCAGTCTGCTTTCTGTGTCTATGGGACTGTTGCAATTTTGTTTGGTGGTTGCCAAGAGAGGACAGGTTGGGGAACTGAATGAAAAGGTGAAGGGATTAAGAAGTATAAATTAGTAGTTACAGAGTAGTCACAAGGATGTAAATTATAGCATAGGGTATACAGTCAATAATATTGTAATAACTATGGTGCCAGGTGGGTACTGGAAATATTGGGGGCACGCTTTGTAAACTGCATGATTGTCTAACCAACCAGTAGGCCGTATACCTGAAACAAATACAAAATAGTATTGAAAGTAATAAACTGAGA